TCACTCTGGCTCAGGGTTAAATCGGCCAACCATCCTTACGAGGTGAAAACCATGTGGACACGGCTTGTTGGGGGCGATATGCTGACTCTGTAAACCGCTTAGAGGGGGCTGAAAGCCCTATGAAGCGGTATATAAGTCTAACTGCTATTGCTATTGCTATTTCCCTCTCTCCCAGTAAAATATGCCTAAACCAAATGAGGCAATGGCAATATCCATTTGAATCCGGAATAATGAAAAAAGCTTTGTCTTAAAATTAGAATGGGTTTCCAGTGGAACAGGTGCTACATCTTGGCCTCATTCTTAAAATTCATTACTATATTGGTGTTTCCATTTTTGATCATTAAAAAAGGTTACTTTGTTTAAGTAATTTTTAAGTGATTCTCAATGGCTTCAGGCAATTTCAACAATTGTCTGGAAGCTCCATGTCCATATTATATACATACAAAAGCTTTTATACTGAAGGAAGCCGGAGAGAGGCTGTATTTTTCTCAACTCCTCAAACATCTGTTTGATGGTTGGAAGGAAGGAATTAACCTGAAGATGGATCAGTTTCAAAAGAGTCACAAAAAGTTGTATATAAATTACTGGTCACCTGCCTGCATTATTTACTACTATGTTGGTTTCTGTTTGTGCTTATTTTTAAATCTGTGATCCTCTCTATAGAGTGTGTGTGTGTATTCATATCTAAAAATATACATTTCTCATGCTTGTATCATAAATCATATCTACGACCTGACAAAGAATTGTTCAAACTATTTTTAATAACAGATCTCCAACCATTTTCCCTCCTCTACAGAATGGATTCTTATCGGCACTTCCTTATTTTGGCTGTTGGGTTTGTATAATTGTGTGTGGTCAGTTTGCAGACTATTTACGTGAAAAGAAAAACATGTCAACAGTCTGTGTTCGCAAAACATTTACAGTAATAGGTAAGAAAAGCATTTGTTTGCAACGTAGCCTATAACTCATTGAGAATACTGGTAGAATTAAAGTGAATTAGTTGGTAAAGATGAACTTTCCCAATTACAGTACAGTTGTTGGTCAGAAGGACTCTGCTCCTTCCTGGATTGGCCCAGCATATATCTTGAATATGTGTGAAGGTCACAATCTACTAGGATTATATGAATGTTGTATAAGTGTGATTCTTAAAATAAGAGTTCCCTATGGTAATTATATCTTAATTTCAGGTGTGAACAACCAGACCCACATGTGCAGAATGCAACCTAATTATTATGTTTTGCCTGTAATAGAGGAATTACCCCAGTCTGGCAGCCTACACCTGGGAACACTTAGATAAGGCTCCAATAAACCTGGGGGAGGAGTGGTCTTAGCCCTTTTGCTTCTGTGCAATATAACTCTAGGCTAACTCCCCTGTTTGAGCTCCTTCCCTGCCAGGCTGGTGCTTCTAAGAATGATAAGGATCACCCTGAATTTTTTAGGAACCTTTTTTTTGGGGGGGGGGGTGAGGGAAAGCACGGGCAAAACATGTTAGCATTATAACTTTGTTCAAAATGATAGGAATCTTATGCCTATTCAAACTTTTGCCCACCTGATACAATGGCATAAATGCAAAGTAGATTCTGTAGTACTAACTAGAAACTAGCTTTCCTGAAGTTCAGAAAAGCATCTTCTCTGGCTTCCCCACTGAACCTTTTGTCCTGGATAACTTAATACCTTGAAACAAACTGAAATTACAATGCATAAATTAACTTTTGAGATTTCAAAAGGAAATTGGTTTCTTTTTAATTCACAATTCTTTTTCCGTTTTCCACATTAGTCTCTGCTGCCTTGTCTTAAAATAAGTACCTTTGAACACAACAGAAGACTGTTAATAACTTTGTGTATTATTATTATTTTTCCTGATCCAATTGATTTTTAAAATAGATTCAGTGTGTTGATTTTAATAAAGCGGCAGCAACAGCTTGGATGAATTTTAAAGTTTGTTTTGTACACTAGATGGCAATAGAAAGCAGGATAAATCACTCAATATTTTCTCATTTAATTTTTTTAGGTTTTTTTTTATCATAGCAAAATAGTAATAATCAGCCAATCTCAAAGTATCTCATAGAGCACACAATATGCTCTCAGCTTGAATTAAAAAATAATTGATTTCTTTAAAGTCATATGGACAAATATTTAGGAAGTTGAACCTCCAAGAAAGTCTAGCAGGAATTTTGATGCACATTTTATAATATGGCTAGTAGAAATCCTAAGTGTAATTTAGGCAAGCCATTAAAAACAGTTTCCTGTTACTCCAGCAAACACCATCTTTTTGAATTCATTTGAATCTATTAGTAACAATGTTAGATTTCTACCATTTAATATACTGAGCTGTCTGAAATGCCACTGTATTGGGGATGCATTCTAATACAGGTTGATGTACAACCATAATTGAGCCTGAAGTTATGTTTGCACATTGTACCAGACATTAATTGGAGTCTGCACATGACTGCACCCAATTTTACAACTTTTGCAACTGTCATGAAGCAAACACTGTAGTCGTAAAGGAAATCCATTGTCCACATTGGTAGATTATGCCAGAAACTGGAAATAAACTCTTGATTTTTAAAAAAAATGTAAGTTGCAGTCATGTGACCGTGGAATATTGAGAAAAACCATAAATATGAGCCAGTTGCCAAGCACCCAAAATGTGATCAGGTGGCTAATGGGGAGGAGGCCCAGCCTTTGGAACTTCTAATTCAGGTTATAAGTAGCTTTGGGGAGGTCCGTCAAAACTTTGAATGGTAGCTAAGTGACCAGTCCAGAGGTGGGTTGTTCCGGGTTTGGCTTGGTTCGGCCAAACTAGTAGTGGAATTCAGGCCTGGGTTTCAGAACCGGCAAAGACCCAGGCCTGCCACACCCATGAACCGGTTCCCTCTCTGCCGCTGGGCTGCCGCCATTTTGGTTTTTAGTGATTGTGCGTGCTATACATTTTTCTGCGCATGCGCGAAGAACAATTTACATTGAACAGCGCAGCATGCGTCTGGCATATGCGCAAGCAAAGTGAGACAGCGTGCAGGTTGCGAACCAGTAGTAAAACCGGCACAACCCACCCCTAGACCAGTCATAAGTCAAGATAGTTTACCTGTAAAAGCTATTTTATATACAGATTGTTGATCTGACTCTTGAATTAGATTGACAGTGATATGCCAGGATTTCAGGAGGATAAAATACCTATCCATTCCGGTTATTGGGAATTTACGAAAAAAATGAGTTCAACCTTTCTGTGCAGTACATATGTTCTGATATCAAACTACAAATACCCTCAATCTTGTGTGCCCACAGTTCTACCTGCTTCCTTCTAAAATCTTGCTGTCTTTGTTTCCGAATGTCTACATAATACAAATCCCCTATTGTCTCCAACATATTGACTTTCTTGTGCTGATAATACTGTAGTGGGCTCTTTGAGCTTGGATGGATCAGAGGAGAATACACCTGTTTCCATTTACAAATTCCAAGAAATATGTATGGCTATTCTTGTTCCCTGATAATATACTATGGCACTGTTGAGTTATTGTCTATTTTAGACAATGTTATCTCTTTATTTACGGATGAAGGGTGAAATTACACTTCAGTGATCCTTTGTTGCAGGTCAAGAGCTGAAAGCTATAGCTACTTGTATAAAATAAAAATCAAAAGTACACTAAAACATCACGAAAAGAATTAATAGAAAGTGCTTATATAAAGTTTCTATTTTTTGTTTTAATTAAGGAATGGTTGGGCCTGCAGTATTCCTCTTGGCGGCTGGATTTATAGGTTGTAATTATGAAGTGGCAGTTGTATTTTTAACCATATCGACGACACTTGGAGGATTTTCCACGTCAGGTTACAGTATCAACCATTTGGATATTGCACCATCGTAAGTTTTTTTAACGGTTTTTACTAGTTAAGTTTTTTAACTAGCTGTTAAGCTTTCCTGAAACAGATAATCTCATTATACTATACATAAGGCACAGAATTCAATGAAGAGTTGTTTTAGAAATTGTTGCAAACCATGTCACTCCGTTCTTAAGAGGTTCACACAAGTTGAATTTTTATTGTCATCAACATCGGGCATGTTTTCCCGATAAAAACTGGTACAAATATCAGAGGACAATTATAGATTCCTTCCTGGTAGACATTTCTTAGTGATGAAAGAAACAATATTTTCACCCTTAATATTTTTGCTGGTTTTCCATTAAGAATAAAGATAAGTGGATAAGACTAGGAAAGGTTGACGAATAGACAATAACATCAGAACTTTTGCAAAATAATTTTGAAATAATAAAAAGTAGATATTACAGTGCATGTGACAAAAGCTAGTTTCTCTACAAATGTTCCCAGTGCTGCTTCCATTTTAGGCATGGTGTGCCATGTTAATCATGGCTCCTCCCAATTGGAATTGAGAGAACCCAAAACACTTGTCAAAACCTAACTTAAAAAGCCAATCTTGGGCTCAGTTTCTGGTATCCTCAATCAGAAGATACTTTCTTAATAAGTTCTCATCTTCTTATTAGAAGATAATTGCTGGATAGTTTGCATGCAGTTGGCTCCCTTGTATTGGGCAGAGAAAACCACCGCCTAGCATGTTCCTGTATTTTGGTATGGCCAGGTTTTATAAATCTGCCAATGAAAACTCCATTGGGAAGAGTTCTTTGTTGCCAAAGTGAATGAAAAAAATGTAGATACACAAAAGTTTGGGGAAAATATTTCTTTGTTATGAATGGAAAGTATTCTATCCCCAACATGGTTCCTCCAACCTTCCATAGCTACCAGTTGTTCCTTTCCCTTACCACTACTGCCATCTGGAGCTGATGGACAAGCAGATGTATACAGCAGCTAGTCCTCCCCCTTTCCACTTGTCACAGTTCTCATAATGATAGCATCTTCCTGGATCATCAAATGCTCCTCTGATCCATTTGGATTTTTGTGTGTGTGTGTGTGTGTTTTGGGGGGGGGGTGTTTGTTGTTTTGGTTCCCTCACTACACACAGATAGGCTCATATGTCTTCAATTCCCTAGAATACTGGACATGTTTTTTTTTTAAACTTTTCTGGAGTGGCAAATACATTTGATAAATAAATCTTCTGCAGTCATTTCAAATATAACTTCAAGCAATAACCACATCAAAATTTAATGTTTAAATTCTTGTTAATCTATTGCAATAAAAACAATACAGATAGTTGTGGCGCCTTTAATATATTATGTCATAAGCTTTTCTAATCATATTTCTTCTAATACATGCAATTGATTAGCTGTTTTAAATTATAATTTAGTTATAAATTATAAGTTAAAATTCCAATTTTCCTCATGTTTCTACAATGCTAATAAATACTTATAAAATTTTATTTTTCTCATAGATCCCACACCATATGTGTGTGTGTGTGTTGTATTTGTGCTGATAAATAAATAAAGGGAGACTAGTATAGATCTATTTCAAGCTATTTAGCTCTCATCAGCTAGCCATACCCTTACTGGGATTCGAACCTGTGCTGTATTGCTGTAAGGCAGATGTCTTAACCATTAAGCCACAGGTCCTCCTCCTTATCAGCTGAAGCCAGGGAGGTAGGTATATATTTAGTGTCACAACCCCTGGTATGCCCCAATTATGGGAGGAAGCTAACTGCTTCCATTATCTGTCTATCGGCTCGTCACAAGAGACCATCATGACAGAAACCCAATTAATGGTTAAGACATCTGCCTAAGATGCAATACAGCACAGGTTCGAATCCCAGTAAGGGTATGGCTAGCTGATGAGAGCTAAATAGCTTGAAATAGATCTATACTAGTCTCCCTTTATTTCAGCACAAATACAACACAAATGTAACAAAGGCAACAGTAAAAATATTGGGTTTCTGTCGTGATGGTCTCTTGTGATGAGCCGATTGACAGATAATGGAAGCAGTTAGCTTCCTCCCATAATTGGGGCATTCCAGGGGTTGTGACACTAATATATATATATATACTGAGTATAAGAGTGTACAAGATTATCTAAAAGACACCTTCTGCATTCAGATACCAATACACAGTAATTTATATGGACTGACAATCCTTTGTTTCATATATTTTCCCAGAAGGAAAATATGGAGATTCTCTTGTAAATGGCATAGTTGTTGAAAAGGACCAGTTGTGAACATTATAAGACATTTCTTAATGGGTAGAAAATCTTACTTCTTTCTGGGGGAGAAGTGCTACACTGAGCTGTTTTGAGATAACTTTGTACATTATACTTCACATTTGCAGGATGCATACCATAGGCATCTACTGTATATGTATATTTATTAAATAACAATGCTGTTGGAAAATATAGTTTGCCTTAGCTGTCAAGTCTGAGTTGAAATGAAGTTGGAGGAAAACCATTTAATTTGCAGTGGGAATCCCCATACTAATATCGTAAGAAGCTGGACACATGAGAAGCGTTTCTAATCCTGTGCAGACAAGTGGATGAATCATGTGTGAAATTCTTTCTCATCTCCCATTTCAGTCTGTCAGGAGGGTTTGGGTGCCAAAATGCTTGGACTGCTGTTGAGAAAATTCCTCTGTTGTGGAAGTGGACATATAATTTAATCTGGCTGTGAAGGGGCAGGAAAAGAATTGTAAAATTGAGAACTGGAAAGTTCTAAAGGCTAATCCTTGTTTTCTTCTATTAACTTAGCTATGCCGGCATCCTCCTTGGAATCACAAATTCATTTGGTACTATTCCAGGAATGGTAGGACCACTTGTTGCTAAGGCTCTGACTCACAGTGTAAGTCACACTTATTTTATTTTTAGAAGTGTAAAAAAAGTCTCATGTACCATTCTCAATTGAATAATAACTGTATTCCCTTGCTGATATAAAAAAGCTGAGCATTAGGGATTGGTAAGAAATTACCACAAAATTCTAAGATTGTAAGCCAACGGAGAAGTTGCAAATATATTCCAGGAATGGCCGCTGTTAAATTGCACATTGTTACTTTTAAAAATCACATGAATCTGTCTAGATACTTCCAAGAAAATAATGTTGACTTGTGTCTTAAATTACATATTAATAAATAAATACAGCTAATTGTTTATTTTCCCTTAATATTCTATTTATTGATAGAACTCTGTAAAAAAATATATTTTAGCAAAAAAAAATTGTTCTGAGATTCTCCAATATAAATCTTATTTTAAAATAATTCTTCTCACAAAGCAATGCAAAGTAATTCCCAAAGTCAGCAACCAAGTTAAGTAAATGTTAAATAAAATTAGGATAGTTTATAATCAGAAGATAGCACAGCACAAGGAAACATGAATTCAAAATATTAATTAAAAATATATAAGCCAGACCTCTGAAGAATGTTTCTATATATTCACAATAATGTTTTGTCATTTTTTTAAAAAGAAGCCATATAGCTAAACGTTTGTAACTGACTAAGCAGCTTTAAAACATTCTTCATTTCTCAATATAATACTGGAGGAATGTCAGTTACATTTTAGTTTGTATTATTAAGCATCTTTAGACTAGGATTAAAGTTCTAACTGTAGCTTATGAATGCAATAACCACATATATAAATTATAATTATAGCTTTTGTCCTTTTGTTAATTGGACAAAATATGCCAAATTCCACATTAGTTTGTTTTGCACAAATAAATCTGTAACTTTCAAGTGTCACTTTTCCAGTTCTCTAAAATAATGCTTTAAATCAGAAATAAATGGTACTTCCCAATATGAGCTCATTTAAATGTTAACTTAATTCTTATTTTCCATTTCCACACATTGTAGTGGTATCTTAAGTCAGTAAACTGAAGTTACTTAAACTTGGAGCTTGTTCCTGAACAAGAATCGGAGTGTGATATCTACACTTTTTTCCTAAGAGAAATTATTGAATCTTCATATCCTCCTTTTCTTCCAACTTCTTGCTATTTTAATTATGCCTGGGGTTGCAGTTCAGCAAGGCAGAGTAGAATCTGCCTACGTCAAACAGTAGCCATAACCTAACCGTGGAATTAAAACAATTGCTAATTATCCCTAGCTCTCTTTGTCTATGTGCTTAGAAGGTTCTAATTTACATTGTTAACAAACTTAACTACAGCAATTGCACTAAGTTCTTGCAGCAAATTTCCTGGCTAGTGGTGAAATAGCATTGCATTTTTATTTAACAATGAGAATTAAAATGCCTTAGCTATATCAATTTCCACATGATTCTTTATGCATTGTATTATTCCAGTTATGAATTACTGGAAACTTACAAGCAACGAATTGAAGAGTGAGCCCAAAGTATTCAATTGTGTGTGTAGTTCCCCCCCCCCCCATATCTAACTTTTACCAAGTTCCTTTCTTTCTTTAGTCACCATCTGTAGGCTTTTCTTCTCAGCTGTCTTCACTAGTAATCCATATTTAAGCTTACCATTTTTCTGTGCTTTTCTCAAAACTCATTTCTAGGATTCCTTTTGAAACTACACTTTTAATCTTGGCCAAACTGACTATAGTCCACTTTTCTCATGGAAGGTGGGCAGCTTTTTCTTTTTAAGATTAGATTTTTTTTTAACCCTTTCGAAGGTGAAATAATGGTCCCAAAAGAAACAGGAAGCTCCCACTTTCATTCAGTGGAGGCAGAATGGAGGGATATCACAAATTATAGTAAGAAAACTTTATTTAATAGCAAGAGAGTGTAAGCCACATGTATGCAAAAGTGGAGCTTATGACATGATGTCAGTATGAACCTGTGTCATTTTGACACAATTTCAGATTGGCTCAGATGCCTATATCAAAGCTGAATATTCATTCAGCCATGCAGTTCAATGAGTAGTCTTAACCCACATACTTTATTCCTCTTAGATCGCACAGGGTCGGCCTCCTCCGGGTTCCGTCTACCAGCCAATGCCATCTGGCTACCACCCGGGGGAGGGCCTTCTCTGTAGCAGCTCCGGCCCTTTGGAATGAACTCCCCGCGGAGATTCGGACCCTCACCTCTCTCCAGGCCTTCTGGAAAGCCGTCAAAACCTGGCTGTGCCAGCAGGCCTGGGGTTGATGAGTTCCCCTCCCCTCTCGACTTGTATGGCTGTATGACTCTTGTGTATTTTAATTATGTGTATTGTGTTTGTATCCCCTTTTCACCTTTCGAGTTGTTCGCTGCCCTGAATCCCTCCCGGAGAAGGGCGGCATACAAATAAACTAAATCTATTCTAATCTAATCTAATCTCTTTAATTCAACTCTCAAGGTTGATGAAATAAAACAAAAGGGAAGAGAACAACAGAGCTCTCTGGAGAGAAGTTACAAGTGTGGATAATTTTACTTAGATATAATTGTCTGACACAAATACCAAATATTAGTGAATTCAGTTGTAATAATCTTTATAAACTATAAATCTCCTCCCCCTTATTAAGAAAGTTGCAAATTGCTGAGGTGTTAACTAGTTTAATTACATCTAAATGAAATTAAGAATGAGAATAAGAATGAAAAAGATAAAACAAAAAGAGTTGCAAGAGAATACTGAATGAATATCTTAATGGAAAGCATTTTTCTCACTCTTGAGCATCATCCTGCTATACTGATTCATCCTTTTATTCTTCTTTCACCAGAATACTATAGAAGAATGGCGAAACGTGTTTTATATTGCTTCTGCCCTTAACTTATTTGGAGCTATTTTCTTTGCATTGTTCAGCAGTGGAGAAGTACAAAACTGGGCACTCAATGGTTACCATACACATAGGAACTAAAGGAATTCTGGAGAGAATGACAAAGCATTACAATTACATCACTCGGAATGCCTTTTATTGAGGATCTCTGTTAAACAGACAAAAGTGCAATTTTTTAAAAAAACATTTACATTTTTAATATGCTGGTTTTTGTATTAAACTGGGATCTAATCCCAACAAATGAATATCTTCATTTGGTAAATATATGGTGTGCCATATTTTAATTATGTTATCTACTTTTTAAATATTTATTTATAAAATCAATGGAATGAGTGATTATTACAATGCCAGTAAGTTGTAATGAAGGGATAATGTATAAAAAGAAAAGCAGAATGTTTGTGTTGCCTCAAGAGTGAAGTTTGTTAGAATTGTTCACTTGTATTTTTCATGTTGCATTAATTTAAACAAATGGAAATTAAATGTTCTTTTACAATGTATGTGTTTCCCCATAAATCTGTTATGAAGTTTCTAAAATTCAAGGAAGCCACACCCTACTGATTCAGGAATATAAGTCCAAATTCTCGGTTGCAGTCTATCAGAAAAAAGTTTGAAAGCATGGCATTTCACTTCTCATATTTTTCTTACTTCAATTCCAGTATTATAATTGAAAAATAACCCCCTTTATCCAAATAAATAAAGATTCAGGAGCTTTATATATTATACATTTATATATTATCTACTAATATTTGTGGGCAGCAATTAAAGATGCTTAATTGTAATTGAGGATGAACAAGTAGCCAATCATTTAGGCTCTCTTCAAGGATTTGATGTGACCATGTACCATTAAAAACTTTTAGCCTACTGTTAATTCCTCACTTGTACCAATATATATGGCGATAAGCCCTCTGTCAATTTGTATTACTATATCACCCAGAATATCTATATAACAGGTGTTGTATCACACCTTTTTCATAGATCAGTTCTCTTAAACTGTTTTTGAGATTAGTGCACTAGGAGACTTCCCTGCACCTCTCTCTTAAGAGATCAAGAAATATCAGGAACTCCTGACTAGTTAGAAAAATATTAGGAATGGTAGATAACTTTATACGGAATATTGTGCGATTAACTAATCAAATGTAGTGAATGAGCAACTATGCACACACAATTGTATAATGAAAATCAAAACAAATAATATCCAAAATAAGGGATAGTTGTAGAGGCTTTCCTTTGTGTGACATTGTGAATTTAAATGATGTAGTAGACTAAAAAGAGCTTGAGATTGAAACCATATACTTGAATTGTCCAGATTCAAATATTATGAAAAATATTTTTAAAGGTGAATAAAGTTGTTATGAAGCTTTCCAAAACTAACATAAACCTGAGAACGCTACACATTCCTGGGTTCTGGCCTATCCACAGCAAAATATCACAGATGGTTTTGTTGTACATAATTTCAGGGAACCAAGTTGATTTCATTTCTAAGAAGTTGCAGAGTTACTGGTTTTCTACCTGAGATTTGGAAAGTCATTGAAATATTTTAGTAATATCATTGTTTTAGAATAATTACCAATATTGGCAGTGAAATTGGTGCTTTTTGCCAATATGAACACTACAACTATTAGTTGGGAATTTTTTCACACTTTTAGGGAACTTAGCTTTTGGAATCTTTATAGTACAGAATATTTGCAATCCTTTATCTCATTCGGCCTTCCCTCAATAGCTCATGCCTGCTGATAACTTGCACTTTAGTTGTCCTAATTCTTTGTAGCATGGCCTTGGGAGATGATGAAGAGGGTGGCCATCTCCTGGAAAGCACCATTGGGAAAGGCTAATCTTGCTTCTACAAGTCAACGGAGGGAGTTTCCTGCTCAAGAAATGGTCTACTACGCACACTTTTTGTTATCCTTTTGTAAATAACAATTTTTAAAAGAGAAATCATGTAAAATAAGCTTCTCGGCAGTGCCGATTTGTGCCTACTCAAGAAATAAGCCATGGAGGAATTTTCAACTTGCATGGAGTACAGCACCAGCACATCATTCATATGCACTGCAAATGCATCATCTGCAGCTAATGTGATGTTATTCATATATTGGTTCCATTGATTTTTTTCCCCCCTGCAAATTGACTGTAAGTTTACTTCGTTCTTTGATTACGTGTTCCCCCATTGGTGTGAAAATGTTACTTGGTCGAACAGTGTAGAATCTTTTATCGTGTTAATTTGTTCATCCATCTGTTTTATACTAAAAATGAGCTGCTTCAGCATGTTTATAATATTTAGTTGCTTGATAATAAAATGGGTGACAGATAAATAAATAATGAAGTTTGCTTTCAGCTTTCCAAAGCTACCTATAATAGCAATCTCAACAGTACTATAAAAAAATTTGAAGCCAGCAGCATAGAAGTGTGGTGCTCACACCTTGGCAGTTAAAACAGCCAGGGAGCATTAAAATAAAAACAATGGCATGGATTCTTTTATATACTCAAGTCAGTGGACACCAAAACTCCAGAGAGCCAACACAACAAACACCCTAGGCAACACACACACACAAGCACTCAGAGGCTGCTACTACTCTTTCCCACTTCTCCGTTCCAGGACATTTCATTTGTATTAAATCAAGATGGTTAGAATAATCCCAGGTTCCTTTCCTTCCTACTTATGCTCCATTCTCATCTTTGCCTTACATGGAGCCCTTGTAGTTACTCCCAAGTCTATTTCTCAAATCTTTTTTTCCCCTCCTAGTCTCACCTTAGTAAGTGTAAAATCTTTTCCAATTACCAGGTTACATGGCAAGTTAGGAATGACTCCTACCACCATTACCTGGTTCCATTCCCTCTTGCATGTACTTGAACTTTAACCAATGGGACATCTCAAATGTAATTTTTCTTCTCAAAGATGCTCTACTGCAGCCATTTCTTTTCTTGCTTTTACTGTCTTTGGACAAATAGCCACTTTTCCCACAGGTATAACAACTATGATGTTTCTTTCATTTGGGCAGAAGCTAAAATCTTCTCTGCTCCTTTCACATTTCTCTCTTCCAACTCCTTAATAGTCTTACTTTTTTACTTTACTTATTTTCTCCTTCTGAATCTTTTCTAATATCCTCTGACCTTTTTTTACTGCCATGTAGACCTTAGGCAATCTAACTACCATTTGGTCTGATTCTATGTTTTTGCACCCAAAACCTCAGTTTGGTAAGGAGCACGTGTAGAAACTGTTCTAACATTACTTCCTCTGGCCTCAACCATTTCTTGCCTAGTCTTTCAACGTTGCTCACAATTCACACATCCCTTCACGTTTGTCATAGGTGTAGCTCCTCAACCTTTGCTTATAGGTGTAAGGAGTGACAACCTGTCTGTGTAGGACTCTCTCTTTCACATGAGAGTAATCCACTATTTCTTTCGCTGGAAGGCTACTATAAGCTTCTCAAAGCCTTTCCCATTAACCATGGGGCTGGGTCAGACCACCTATTTACTTTCAGGCCACTTACAAGAGGTAAACTACTCTTTTGAACTGGTAAAATAGGCTTCTTGTTTCTTTTTTTTCTTTCTCTGACTCCTTGGGAATTTAAATGTCCTTGGGACCACACCTCTACTCTACACATTCTGAAAAACTTTCGAGTTCAATGTGCTTAAGTAGGTCTTATCAACCTCCTAAACTCTTGCCTCTTTGCCATTCCAGCCAATCTTCCCTTTCTTTCTGCAAAGTTGCTTCTCTTCCTCTTTTAATTAATTTAAGTCTTTCTTCTTGCTGCTGTCTCATCAGCTGGTGCAACAATACTGGCCCAAGTATCAGTGCCTAAGCTCCATTTCAGGCTGGTCTACCTGCCTCTTCCAAAGTAGTAGCCAAAAGAGGAATCTGTCCCCTTCTGCCTTTTCCATGTTTGGTATAAGGCTCTGGTAAGAGGTTTAGTTTCAGCAAGCAGAATACTGGCTAGTTTCTGCAAAGTCTGCACTTTGTAAGGCTCAAACTCCTTTACTTTTGCCCTCTTCCTTTTAGCCAAAGCTAGTTTTCATTTAAGTTTAAGCCACTTTGTGCTGGTATCCAGTTTTGTTAGTTTCCCATCTTTTAGATAGTCCACATTTTTTTGCCTATCCCAACCTTTTTGTATTCCCCATCTTTTGCCACCAGTTGTACACAAGTGAGCAGGCTCTAAACACTACCAACAGGTAGTGGCAACACACACAGACAAACATTCAGAGGCTAGTACTCACTACTCCACTCTTTCCCTACTATGCCTCCTCCAACTACTACTTATGAGTCCTACTGCTGGAGAACTGTAGCTCTATCTACTTTAGGCTGTTTCAGGAACAAACCTCCTTTCTCTCTCTCCCACCCATCAACCACCACACCCAGCTGCCTCTCCTTTTATAGCCAACAATTGCTCCACTGGCTGCGAGAGGAATTAAAGGGACAGGAGAGCAGCACAGGTGCTGGTCATTTTGTAGGCAGCCTATCCTCTTGCATATCCAATGAAATTGAAAAGAAGAAATGGCTAGATGGACCAAATATGTCTTCAGGGTTTCCCCTAAAGCTTGTTTGCTTTAAGCCTGATGGGTTCCCACTTAGCAACAGATTCTGTAGGCATGGAGACATTGGAAAAAATTCCCTTGTATTGCTATTGAAGGGCCAACAGTTTTGATTTCAAAGTGCAGGAAATTTGACAGCAATGAATATTAATACTTATCTGCCCTCCTGGAATATGTACGCGCAGTCCTTGTTTAGCAACTGCAATTGGGACAATTACAATCAGTAACTTAGCTGTTAAGCCAAACACTCACTTGAAAGAACTGTAACTGCTTATGATCTTATTTCAATTTTCCTTTGCTTTATAGACCTGTAAAGGTCATAACTTCAAGGACTGGTTTCAGTTGCAAAAGATGGGCTAAAACAGTGGTCCCCAACCTTTTTATCACCGCGGACCAGTCAGCCTTTGATAATTTTACCGTGGCCCGCTGAGCGCGC